TTGTCCCACCAGGGCTCTTTGTGCACCTATTGGAATGGCTAAAATTTGAAAAACAACTGATGATGCCAAATGCTGGTGAAGATGAAGAATAACAAGAATTCTCATTAATTGCAAAACGAGATTGAAAAATGGTACAGCCACGTTGGGAAACAGTTTTGCAGTCTCTTAAAAAGTTAAACATAGACGTACCATAAACCAAACAGAACTGATTGCTATTGAGTCATTTCTGACTCACGGCGACCTTAAAAAAGGCTTACCATAGGATCCACCCTTGCACTCTAGGTAATTTACTCAGGTGAATTGAAAATTTATGTTCGCACAGTGACCTGTATGAGAATGTTTATAACAGTGTTATAGTCATGAAAACTGGAAGCAACTACAATGTCTTTCAACAGAGAATGGATAAACAATCTGTGGTACATCCATACAGTGGAATATTATTCAGTGATAAAAAGGTACAAGCTACTGATTCACACAGCAACATGGATGATAAAGAAAAAGAAGCCAGGCCTAAAAGACAAAATGTTTTAGGATTCCATTCACATGACATCCTGGAAAAGGCAACACCATACGGACAGAAAAATTGCTTATTGTAGCAGGGAGTGGTTGACTATAAACAGGATGCACAGGAGAACTTTTAAGGTGAAGGAACTATTCTCTATGGTACTGAGGTGATGGATATATGACTGCATTTATCAAAGCCCATAGAAGTTTAAATCACAGAGTACGCTTTACTGTAACTAAAAAAAAAAAATACTAAAAACAGGGGCGGGGAGGCATCATACGGTATATCAGAGGATCCTAGGATAGAATTCAGATTGTGGTAATTGAATCTAACTATATTACAAATGTTTGTCATAACTGTACTGAAGGAGGAGGTAGGAGAAAAAGAGTGATCTTAGTAACTTTGAAAAATGGCACTTTGACTGAAAGCTCTAAGGATAAAAATTAAAGGAAATATACATAAACACCATACTCCAGTTAGTAAATTTGTTTCTCAAGGGGGTACAGGTTAACAGTTCTGAAACTATATGTATAGTACGGTTGTATACTTTATATGTACCCTAGTATACTTTATATGTATATAGGTGGTCCCCAGGTTTCAAATGTCTTTTCCGTATAACTCATAGTTACGAACTAACCCTTGTAAAGCTTATTATATTAAATTTTCGAGGTACATATAAAATAGTTCATAATAACAGACAGGTGCTACTTGTGACATGCATCAAAACATTATTATTACAGTTTTATGTTAAAGATGTTTTAGTGTATCTGGAAGTGTTTATGCATAGAAAGGTACACTGTATACTGTATACTAAGATAAACATTTGACTGACGTTAGATATGAACACCATACACTTACTGTCTTGACTTACATACCAGTTCAACTTAAAGACAGACTTAGGAATGGAACTCATTCATTTTTAATCCGGGAACTGGCGGTGCGAGTATACTTTATATATATACTAAGTCAATAGATGGTGGATGGTGGAAGCCAGGTTTTTCACTGTTGGAGAGAGAAGTTACATATAAGCAATGAGGGAAGTACAGAATGAACTCTGAAGTTCTAAATTAGAATCAAAAGCATCAGCATGAATTCATGTTTAGATTAGTATATGTACAGATGGATAGAAACAATTATATGTATATACATGAGTTTTTATATATACATATATTATGTAGCTCTATCCACTAAGAAGGCCTAGAAGGAGTGACACCCAAATAGCAACAAGCACTCTCAATACCCAGATCTTGTTTTAACCATTCTCCAATAAAAGGAACTTGAGCTTTGTGGAAAAATCGATGATTCTAGGGCTGGGGCAGGAAAAATACTAGATGAGCGTAGAACATCTTATAGTACCAAACAGTAAGGAAATGCTTAACAAATAAAAAGATGAGGTATGTCAGAAGGATATAAAAGCCAACCTGAAAGAAATCCCAAAGTCCAAAGCTACAACAGTTTAAGCAACAAAAAAAGAACATAGTATTTATTGAGTGGGTTTGGACTGAACTTAGTGATTTGCCTCCAATGAGTAGAGTATGGAAAGAGAACAATAGTAATTTTGCAGTAGAGAAACCTGGCAAACATGGTCAGGTGTTAACATCGTGAGTAATGTCATGGGAATATCATGTCCCCTGATATGATGTGATGAGAAGCACATTTCAGCCTCTGTGGTATTCTTTCTCAAACCCATACCAAAACCAAAAATACCAGTTGCCATTGAGTTGATTCCAACTCATGTTGTTGTTGTTATTAGTTGCTGTCAAGTCGATTCCAACTCATGTCAACCACGTGTGTGCAGTAGAACTACTTCAGAGGGTTTTCAAGGCTGTCACCTTTCGGAAACAGATCACCAGGCCTGTCTTCCAAGTTTCCTCTGGCTGGGTTTGAACTGCCAACCTTTTGACTAGTAGTTAAGTGCTTAACTGTTTGCACCACCAGGGCACTCCTCTCAAACCCATAACCGCAGTCTAATCATTTGCAAAACATCAGACAAACCCTTGAAGGATATTCTGCAAGATACCTGACCAGTAAACCTCAAAACTTTCAAGGTCATGACCACAAACCAAGCCAAAGCCATTGCCGTCGAGTGGATTCTGACTCCCAACGACCCTATAGGACAGAGCAGAACTGCCCCATAGAGTTTCCAAGGAGTGGCTGGTGGATTCGAACTGCTGACCTTTTGGTTAGCAGCCATAGCTATTAACCAGTGCTCCACCAGGGCTCCTCAAGGTCATGAGAAACCAGGAAACTCTCACAGACCAGACGAGACTAAGGAGATATGACAAATTAATGCAATGTAGTATCAACGGTTGGATCCTGGAATAGAAAAAAGACATTAATGAAAAACTGGTGAAACTAGTAAGGCCTGAAGTTTAGTTAATGGTAATGTACCAGTGTTGGTTTCTTAGTTTTGACAAACGTACCGTGGTAATATAAAATGATAACATTAAAGGAATCTGAAAGTAGGGTGTATGGGAAATCTTGGCAACTTTTCTTACAATTATTCCAAAATAAAAAGTATATTCAAAAACAGGTTACAGAATAATATATGAAAAGTATAATTTTATTTATGAAAAAGTCTACAGATAGATTTAGATACATGCATTGAAAGATGATTAGTAAAATGTTCACTAGAAATATTAACAGCAATGGATCTTGGGGACATTTTTACTTTTTTTCAAATATTGGATTTTATTTGGCATATTTATTTTTACAAACCACCATCCGTCTGTCAGTTTGTCATACTGTGGTAGCTTGCATGTTGCTGTGTTGCTGGAGGCTATGTCAGTGGTATTTCAGATACCAGCAAGGTTACCCATGGTAGACAAGTTTCAGTGGAACTTCCAGACTAAGATAGACTTCAGGAAGAAAGGCCTAGTGATCTGCTTCCAAAACTTAGCCAATAAAAACCATATGATCACAACAGAACATTGTCTGACACCTTATCAGAAGGTATCAGTCACTGGTGGAGGACATCCTGCTTGGCGAAGCACAGGGCCAGCAAGGGTGGAGACCCTCAGTGAAATGGACTGGCACAATAGCCGCAACAGCGGACTAGAACATGATGGTGATCCTGAGGGATGTCGCAAGACCGGGCAGCGTTTCGTTCTGTTGTACGTAAGGTTGCCATGAGTTGGAGTTGACTCGGCGGCAACTGTCATCTTTTTTATAAGAATAGTAATGCTGTTAAAAAAAAAACAATAAAAGATACTTTTAATCTATCTTTCCTGAAATTATTTCTCTGATAATTTTCAATCAAAAGTTTTATATGTATGAGATAAAGTAGGAAGAAAATAAACCAAAATGAAACATCCAAAAATGAAAGATATTTTTAAATGTCATAAGAATATTGAATGACAGAGAAGTTTCATGATAATCAAATGAAAAAAGCTGATTGCAAGCATTATATACCTTTTTATTTTACTTATCTGTATTCTGAATTTTCTATAATGAGCAGGTATTGCCTTTATAATTTAAAAAAAAAATTCATATTTTCACTGGAGTGATAGACATTATCAGAGCTAAAATTGGAATGTGAGTTGAAATCCCAGGTTAAAGCTTTTAGAATTTTTCTTGATAACAAACTTCTATAAATTAGTTAATATCTTAAAATACAGATGTAGCTGTATCCCCTACAGAACAACTTCTAATTAAATCATTACTGGGCATAGTTAATCATTATGGTTTTTTTAGCATGCATTTTGAAAGACACAAAGAATTACACAATGTAAGTTCTGCCTGTCCCGAAGGATGAGTATACATGAAGAGTTCATTTCTGTATATTTTAAAATCCTTTTGAAGAGTAAATAAGAAATTTAACATTTTAATCAAAATCATGTACTCTGTATTTACCCAGAAAATCAAAAAGCATCAGTGGTACTTTTCTAAAAACAAACTGGCCTGGGTCCACTATTACAGGAAACATTTATATCTTATTTGCTAGCATCTACTTTTTTCTGAGTGCTTATCTGGCCAAGTACTTTGTATACAATTTTCTCATTAAATCCTCGAAACAATTTATGTGGTGTATATGGTATTAATCTGATTATTAAAATTATGGAAACTAAGGCTCAAAAAAAGTTGAACAACTTGCCCACAGTTGCAGATAATAGGTATTCAGTAAATCTTATCTTACATTATTTATAAGGTAAACATATCTTCAAAAGTCTAATACTCCTATAATATTCAAAATTATGTATAAATTCTCATACATTCTACATAGAGTATATCCATATACCACCCTAAGTTCATACTTTATGTACAAGTTACTGTAAAAATTACTGCAAATGGAGTGACAATTATGAAATTTCAGCAAATACTTTTAGGTTTCTGATTATTTGACATCATTTTTAAAGTTTTAAAACATACTTCTACTGCATACTTCTTTTTTTTCCTGCATATTTTTATTAAGTTTGGATTTCTAGTTTATGTTTTGGAGCAACCACATTTAGTAACCAAACTTTTAGTAATCATACTCTTGTACCTTCTGTTTCAGGCAGAAAATGTAACAGTGACAAAGGATTTTAGAAGAGTGGAAAATGCTTACCATATGGAAGCAGAGGTATGTAGTTAACAAATAATTGAAAACCCCATGACATTTTAGGGACAATTTGTCATCTATCCTTTTTTTCTTTTCTAATTTTTTTTGATTCTACTTCAGGTGAAGGTTTACAGAAGAAATATTTTCTCATTAAACAGTACACATATTGTTTTATGGCATTGGTTTACAACCCCACAACATGTCAACACACTCCCTTCTCGGCCTTGGAGGACC